TGTCCCTCGGGACCAAGACACTACTACCCTGTTTTGGGGGGGGGGGGGGGGGGGGAGATGGGGACCGGCTAGGGTAAGCAGCAATGACAGACCCGGGCCAGTACACTCAGCACCGCTGGGCCAGTGGGTCCAAGGAGGAAGAGTTCACGTCATCCCATGACATGGGGATCCTGGAAGGAGGGACGGGAGCCTTCCCAACACCCAGGCCTTTGCAGGCAGGATGCTGGGCCCCAAAGAGGTGGCCCTGGTAGACCGAGGTGAAACGTCAGGCACTGGCCATTAGGAATACAGCCCCTGTTCTACATCCCAAGCGCCTGAGCCAGCCACCTTTGCTAATTCAATCACTTTTCACCTGAATTTCAAATTTCCGATGTGTATTGGCTCCTGTTTTCAGTCCCAAGGAGAGCTCTGTGTAAGCTCTTCTCATCTGCCTACTGCAAGCTCTGCCCATGAATTCTTGGGTTTCTCCATTGAAAACAAACAGAACTGTCCCTCTGGCCTGCTACCCACACTCCTCCACACCTCCTGTCTTTGCCAGAATCTCCAAAGTGCACTTTCTTCTGACCACTCTCTGCTCACCCCATTCCCATCTGGCTCACGTCCTGGCTGTTTTCTGGAAACTGCCGTTTTGGAGGCTGTTCATGGCTGCTGAGTTGCCAAACCTAAAGGCTTTGTTATTAATAATGTGTTAGGTTTGATATTTTATCCAGCCACAGCCCTTGGTGTTCAGAGATGTCGCTTTGTTTTCTTAGAACTGACCTCAGACCATGAATTCAGCCTTCAGTGTCTTGGGGGCTGCAGACGCAGCCATCCAGATTCAAGGTCAACTCAGCCAACTGCAGTCTAAGCCATGCTGCCTTCTAAAGGAGCGTAGCGGGAGGTCCCTTCTTATTCTCTAGCTGCAGAGCACCTGCGTGGGGGCGGAGCTTGCGCCTGTAGTTGGGGAAGAAGGCATCACCCCGCCCACTTCGCCATTCTGTCCACACCCACGGGCAACCCTCCTCACTTGGCCCCTTGTCCTGCGCTCACTGAGCTCATGTGTCCCGGTTTCCACCATCATCTCCCCTCGCCCACAGCCTTGTGGTGCAGACTCCAGCTCCTTCCTGCCTTTTGGCTTGTTCAGGGCCCCTGCTGTGTCCCACTTGGTGGCCACAGACGTTTTCAGATCTGTCCCTCACCTCACCAAGGAGCGCAAAGCCTTGTGACCACCCTGCTCCAAGGCTGCCATACTGTTCAAAACCATGGATACAGAACCTCAGCCCAGAGCTGTGGTTCTTCCTGGCACATGCTGAGGGGAGAGACACCCGTGTCCTCTGCCATGGAGTCCCTGGTGAGCTGCAGATGTGTTTCACTATGGCCGCCATAGAAGACATTTTACATCGCGACTGAATTTAAGCATACAGCACAAATGAAAGAGCAGCTTCATGCGACAGTATTTACCAGTACCTTGTAAGTACTCCAGTATCTATCTATCTGTCTATCTTTCTCTTTCTTTCTTCTTTCTTTCTTTCTTTCTTTCTTTCTTTCTTTCTTTCTTTCTTTCTTTCTTCTTTCTTTTGTGGAACGGGGGATTGAACTCAGGTCCTTACACTTGCCAGGGAAGTGCTTATTCTACTGAGCCATCTCCCCAGCCCCATCCTATATTTTCCATTCCATTGCATTTTCTTCTAATACATTTTATCCCATTAAAATCCATTTTGTAATTCAAGAGTAGGTTTCAGCCCACAGATTAAAAAAATATTGTCTGAACGGTGGCTTACTTGGTTCAGAAGGGTGGGGACTGGGCATCATACCAAGGACAAGGAAAGAGCTACACACTTGTTTTGTTCTTTCTCAAAATGCACAGCTTTGACAATAAAAGAAAATCTTGTATTCCAAGCTGTTGTCTCTACTATGGGTTTAAAATAAATCCATTCAGACATTCAACAGATTTTTTTTAGCCTTAGCCTTATCTACTCTCTGAGAACAATGTGTAGAATGTAATAAAATGATACAAAGTATGGGCTTAAAGGAGCACAAAACTTAGGGAATGTGCACAAATGTTACATATTCTGTTAGTAATTGTAATAACAGTTATATTGTAGTGTACACTGTAGGTCAGGCTCTGTTTTTCACTTCAGTTATTGTACCAGTTAACTTTATAACATCACTATGACACAGTATAAATATTATTTCCATTTGATCAAAAGGAAACTAAGACTAAACTAAGACTGACTCTGTCCCTTGGTCCCCTCCCTCCACACCTAAAAATCATTCCTCTGTTGGGTACTTCCTTTCCTTATTGATATAAGGGAAAGAAACTCCCAAATTGCTAGATATCTGGTACAAGTTTGAATTGTGTAAAATTAAAGAATGAATTTCAGGAATGGTGGAGGTTAAGAGCAGAATATATTTATTGGGGGAAAGAAAGCTTCTGTCTGAGAGAGAGAGACAGGAGGGGTCCTGAATAGGTTGCCAAGGAACCTGTCTTTTCTGGGGATTTTTAAAGAGCAAATCCACAGTGTGAGGTGGGTCCAAGGTAAGAAACTTGGAAACTCCCAAGGTGAGCTTGAGGGGGCACAAAAGTATGGTTAACCAATAAGAATACAAGTTTTGTTGCTGAGGTAAAATTGATCGATCAGGATCAAATGGGGAAGCGAGTCCCACAGCAAGTGGACATGAATACAGAAGAGGGGCCTTTTATTGTAGGGGGTTAAGTTAGTGCCTTCCTGACTTCCTCAGGGTGATAGATGCCTATTTGGAATATCAGTCCTTGATGCTTACCCTTGAGGAGTATGTGGATGCATCTGTTTGATCTTTCATATTGGTCTGGCCCACCATGGAGTGCCTGTTTCCCCCAGGGTTGCAAGACATCCCATCTTCCTGCACTGGCTCCTCCCAGAGCCTAGCCGGGTCTGCCTATAATATTTCTATCTAACTCAGTTGCCTACAACAATATTGGTTACTTCCTTTTTTCATGTTGGTTGTTTCCTTTCCTCTGTTTATTACTTTCTTTTCTGCCCCCAAATTGGAAGACGGAAACTTTATTACAGTTTATGTGGGATCATATTTATCTAACATAGTATCCATGCCCAAATATCCAAAAGTTTTTGAGGGGCTGAGGAGATGGCTCAGTGGAATAAGCGCTTCTCTAGCAAGTGCAAGGGCTTGAGTTCAATCCCTGGTTCTGCAAAAAAAAAAGCTTTTGAAATAACCTTTTCTATGCATTGATGGTGGGAGAGCACACACACACACACACACACACACACACACACACACACACACACGTGCACACGCATACATCCAAAGTCTTCAGCGATGATTGGGTCCTGGAAAATACCAGTAAAAACTAAATTTCTGACTCTTAAACTTATTAATTAGGACTTCTTCATCTTGACTCCTCTGGATGCAGGGCCGATGGGACAGCACAGGTCCATGAAGCCAGCTCTGGCATGAAACTTTCTAAATCAATCCCAATTCCTCATTTATTAGAAGCTACTCTGATCTAATTCTCAGTTCTCCCTGTTTAGAAATGGGACCCCTTCTAGCTATATGCATTCACTCCTAATTAGTTCCCCAGTATAAAAGTCTTTTTAAAAAAGCTTGCTGTGTCTCTCCCTTCCTAGCTTACCCAGGATCCCTATCTCCAGGAGGCTGCAGATTGAGCCTGCAGCTCAGCAGTAAGAAAACATCCCAGAGACTGATTAGGACAGCTTCTCATGAGTCATGATGTCCCGCCCATCAGGTTCCCTCCCCATGTGCCACCAACCAGCGCTTGGGCACACAGAGTAAACCTCTCATCCAGCCCTTTGCCCTGGGTTCAGAGTCTATGCCCTACCCACACTGGGCACTAGGGGCTTCTGGAGGCCTCACACAACATGTGTCTCTTGTTTTGAGCTGCTGAGGGCTTTAAGCCCCAGCTCCCAGCGGCAGCTCCTGTGGTCACAGGGAAAGGCGACTCCCACCAGATTCGGAAGCCTGCATGCTGTGTGCAACCTAAAAGGAACAGGTAGGCAATCTGCTGGGTCAGGGACTCGGAGCAGCATTCCTGCAGGGCACTGGTGCAGGGCAGTTTTGAGAAGAGGCTCTGTAGAAGGGAGAGAGGGTCAAATCTGGCTCGGAGGTGACTGCTAACCTCTCCCACCTTCAGGGGCCTATGGCAGCCATCCTGACACCAGAAGGCCTGGGCAGCAGTGAACAAGAGCGCAGGAGCTGTGCGGTGTGCGGGGACCGAGCCACAGGCTATAATTTCCATGCCCTGACTTGTGAGGCCTGCAAGGGTTTCTTCAGGTGAGAGATCCCGCCCCAACAGAATAACCCTGTCCAACACACACACTCACACACACACGCACACACACACACACACACGCACACACACACACTCCTATCGGGTAGCCCTTAGCCTATGGAGCAGTCCTTAGACTCTGGCCTAGGCCTGGGTGTATCCAGGTCCTCCTGTACCCGAGTATAGCTACCCTGTAATGGCACTCTCTCCCTGGTGACCACATACTGCATGAGCTGGTGCTACAACAGACAGAGGGCTACATGTTTGTCCCATGAACACAGCCTATAAGCCGAGGACACTTATATTATGTACCTCAAATCACTAAGCTAGCATTACATCAACTGGGCTTGACCACATGAGACCTTGTGTTCCCGTGAAAATGCTTGATGTGTGTCATACCATCCACCCTTGAGGACTTTTGCTCACAGCTCAGATTAGCCGTTGGCACCAGATTCCCAAGTCTTTTTAGTCCATATCCTGTCATTCCTTCACATTCACACATGCCTTGTCCCTGCCATCCCAGACCCTAACAACATTTCTGTCCCTCACAGAAGAGCAGTTAACAAAAGCACTGAGCCCACATGCCCCTTCACCGGAAGCTGTGAAGTCAGCAGGGCGCAGAGGCGCCACTGCCCAGCCTGTAGGTTGCAGAAGTGTCTGGACGCTGGCATGAGGAAAGACAGTGAGTCAGCCTTTTACTGGCCCAAGAATCTATGGACCAAGTCTCTGTTTTGTCATTTGCTAAATGGCAGGCAACATGGGCTTCTTGAAACTAGCCGCATCATGTTGCTATTGTGCTCAAACCTCCCTTTGCTCCCCAGCACTCTTCAAATACACACGTGGGCTCGTGGTCTAGCTTCTGCACAGCACCTGTCAGGTTTTATTACCTCTTCTCTTTTGCTTGTTCCTTCCGGGCACACTGATTTCAGTGTCACCCTAGGACACACCAAGCTCACTTTCCCCCCGAACTGTTCCACCTGCCATTCCTTCTGCCTGAAATGCCTTTCCCTTAGATCAGCAAAGGCAAACCTTTCAGGGCTTGTGATGACAGACTGCCAGCAGCCTGCTGCAGCACGCCCACTGTTGGTTACCACCATGGCTCTCGGCATTCACACAGCTCGCCTTTACTCCACTGTCTCTCGAGTACAATGTGTGCCACCCGGTAGGTGCTCAATACTTTATGCTTTCTCTGTGTCAGATAACTGCGATCCAACAGATGACGCAAGTGGGGATCACAGAAGGCCTGTTGCCCAGGCGCGTTCGGCTGCAGTGTAGATTCAGGATTTATTCAAGCTGCAGTCTGTCTGACTCTCAGCCTCACTGTTTCCATCACACTATTTCCAATTTGGAGCAGAGGAGAGGAAGCTGAGAGGCCAAACATCTTGGTTTGAATTTAGTCTGAATCCTCTTTTTCCCCTTCAATACTAGTTTTGGAACTCAGGGCTTTCCCACTGAGCCATATCCCTAACCCATTTATTATTTTTTTATTGTGAGACCAGGTCTCGAGGGACTCAAACTTGCAACCCTCCTGCCTCAGCCCCCTAAAGTTCTGGGAGTATGGGTGTTTGCCATCACTCCCAGTTATCACTTATTTTTGACTTTCGACTTGTCAATGGAGGCTAAGCTTGTTTGCGATTCTGAAAAACATGTTTGCCTTGTCTTCCTTAGTGTTGTTCCATCAAGTAGGCTCTAACCCCAAACCTTTGAAATGATAATGCTATGTGTTACAGTTTGTTTCTAAAATGTCCCCTCAAAGGCGCAGGTATCCAGAGACAAGGCTCTGGGAAGGTGCTTTTATCATGAGGGATTTAACATCATCAGTGGGTTAGTCCTCTGATGCAGCACAGTGTGATGACATTACTGGTGGAGGATGGAAACTCACCTCAGGATCCGGGGCCTCGGTGAAGGGCAGGGGTGGGGTGTGACCTTGGGGACTGTATCTCGTCCCAGACCTTTCCTTTCTGGGTCTTCTGTTTTCTCTCTGTGTGCCACAAGGTAAGGCACTGTTCTCTACCATACCCTTCTGCCATGACGTTCTGCTCCGCACTGGGCCCAGAAACAATAAAGCCAAGGGAAACCTCTGAAACCAAAATCAATCTTTCCTCCTTAAGTTATTGTTCTCTCAGGTATTTTGCCACAGCATTGGAATGGTGAACAGCACAGTGTGCAAACAGAATGGGAGGTGGTCAGGCCCTCTTCATGCTTCTCCCTGAAGCCCTTCCTCTCCATCCACTGTTGCCACTACCGCTTCCACCTGTCCCTTCTCACAAGGCACTGTCTTCTGCTTATGAGATACCTCTGAGGTAGAGGAAAGGAATCCCTGTTACCAGGAGCCCCTGGGATTGCAACCAAGTTCAAGGAAGCCTCAGGAGCTGCCCCCCATCCTTCCTTGACTAGGGCAGCTAGTGGTAGGACTGGCAGAAAGGTGCTCTCTGTCAGTTTCAGTGGTTTTGCACTCTCTTGCCTGGCGCAGTGGTGCTGTCACCAGAAGCCCTCGTATTGCGGCGAGCCAAGCAGGCATGGCGGCGGGCACAACACTCACCGATGAAGCTGAGGAAGGAGCAGAAAGAGCTGGTCCAGATCCTCCTGGAGGCCCACACACGCTATGTAGCCACCATGTTCGACCAGTTTGTGCAGTTCAAGGTGAGATGGGATCTGGGACTAGAAGGTTACCAAAAGGGCACCCAAGAAGGTGGCCAGTGGGAAAGTGCTCTGTGTGTTGCTCAGCAACAGAGGATAGGCCTTCTCCAGCAGCCAGTCCGGTAGCTCCTCAGGGAAGAAGCTTCCAAGACAAAGCTGGCAAAGCCTCAAGGTGGGCCCTGGGGCCAGGGCCTTGTGCTCATGCTCTGATCTCTGCAGCCTCCAGCTTACCTCTTTGGTCATCGCCAGCCTCTTCCCATCCTGGACCCTGTGCTTCCTCTGCTCACACACTTTGCAGATATTATAACCTTTATGCTACTGCAGATTATCAAGTTCACCAAGGCTCTGCCCCTTTTCCGGTGAGTGGCCTTATCTTTCAGAAAGTCAACACTTCATAAATTACCCACCCTGGAAAAACCACTAATCCTATTAACACAGCCCTCAACATTTCCTAGCACCAGGTCTCAGATTCCCAGCTTTCTTTTTCTGTGTGTGTGTCCCTCAAGACTGGGAGCTCAGACTTGAGTCTCAGTGCCCTTGTTTCTTGCTCCCCATAGGTCCCTGGCCATGGAGGACCAGCTCTCCCTGCTGAAGGGAGCAGCGGTGGAAATGTTTCAAATTGCGCTCAATACCACTTTCTGTCTCCAGACCCAGAGCTTCCTGTGTGGGCCTCTTTGCTATACAGTAGAAGACATAATCCATGGTGAGGGGGTGCTAGAGAGCTAGACGCATGTATCCTTGTGGAATGGGACATGGTAAAGGGAGTTGGAGTCTCCTAAGCCTAGTGTCTCTTGCAGCAGGGTTCCAGAAAGACTTTGTAGAGTTGATCTTGCATTTCCATGGGACACTGAGACGGCTGCAGCTCCAAGAGGCTGAGTATGTGCTCATGGCTGCCATGGCCCTCTTCTCTCCTGGTAAGCGGCCCCACAGCCTGGGAACTTCAGCCTCACCACCTCTGCCCAGACTTAGGCCCTTGAACTAATCTACCCCAGTCAAACCAACCACATGGGTCCATATCATTTGTGGTGCTGAGGGCACTGCAGGCCTCCCCCCACCTGTCCTTCCCAGCTCCTGTCTTACAGACCGGCCTGGAGTTACTCAGAGGGTAGAGGTTGAGCAGCTGCAAGAGAAGGTGGCACTGACTCTGGACAGCTACATCAAGGAGCAGCAGCCAAGGCCTCAGAAACGGTGGGTGGGTGGGAGATGGGGGGCTGGGAGGTCATGCCAGGGATAGAAGTGTTAGGGAGAAATCCAGCTCAGGAGGTGTGCTTTTTATTGTCTTCTCCTTTAGGAAACCAGGTCTCTTGGGGAGTCTGGTCCTTGCTCCCCCAACTTTTTAATTCAGTAGAGATGAGTAGTAGCTCAGTTTCTATGGAGAAGCACTCCTGCAGCTGATGACATCTATCACCTCACCTCTCCAGCTTCTTCAGACTGACGCAGATTTTGAAGAGTCTTATTCATTCTTATTTCTAGGCCTCTCCACTTTCTCCATTAGGCAAAGTCCTTGGTATTTCTGTGTCCCAGAAGTTTTCGAATCATTCACAGTTTCATGACCAAGTGCAGTCCCTTACTCAGTGTTCTTTCTAGGCTCTGAGATATGTTCCACCTCTCCTTTTGCTCATGTCTCAACCGGTCAGTTTGCTATAAGGGGACACTTTGTGCCACAGAGCAACACATCCACCTTCTGGAACACACTCTGGAATGCCAGATGCTCGGGATCCTACACACATTCTACACAGTTGAAATTCTGACTGCCTCTGTAGCTTTCTTCATACTTGACCCTCAGAGCTCTGGGCTTAGGAAAAGCTAGTAGTGGTAAGAGAAGACAGTGTCAGACACTAGGAGATCTTTGAAACTTGTGGTAAATCTGTCCTGTCACAGTGTGATTTTCTGTAGTGGTAAGACTTCGCTTCCAGGGAAGTCTGGGCTCCAGCTGCTTCGTTTCTCTCTCCTATTCCTGGTCATCTTGTTGCTTCCTCCAAAGATTTCTTTATGCAAAGCTGCTAGGCCTGTTGGCTGAGCTTCGGAGCATTAACAACGAATACTGGTACCAAATCCAGCGCATCCAGGGGCTGCCTGCCATGATCCCACTGCTCCAGGAGATCTGCAGCTGAGGTGGGGCTCACCGCCTTCCTCTCCCCCGTGGACTGGAGCAGGGAAATTGCTAGGATGAGCTTTTGAGAGGGGCAAGAGAAAGGGGCCCGGTGATCTCAATAAACAACTAAAGCAACAACTGCCCTTTCAGGTAGTCACTGGGGGTGCTGGGGGTAACCATGGGGACAAAGTGGTCTGAAAGCAAGGAAGGTTGGATGGCAGAAGCCTCAGAGAAAAGAAGCAAAGCTCCTTTTGGCAATGAGTGGACCCCACTTTATGAGGTGGTATAGCCAGAGTTTATAGGGGAATAGATTTAATACAGGACACATAATTTTTAAGATAATTTTATAATATTCATCTAAGGAATCAAATGCAGTAGGGTATAGGAAATCTGTCCACAACTACAGATACAAAGAATCCAGCACAAGGCCTGGGTCCCATTGCAGTGTCTTGTGTGAGTCCTGCTGAAGACCTAGATTCCATGTCACTGCTCCCCAGAGTCTCACCAAAGGCCTAGAGCCCACAGTGATGTTCCATGCAGGTCTGTATCAAGGATCTGCACTGGTAGGGCCCAAAGCTCAGTCAGTGGTGGAAACCAGAAAGTCTTCACCATTGGGATGAAGGATCTGCGCCAGCAGCTGAAGGATCTGCACTGGAGCCAGGAAGTGAGGCTCAAGGTAAGGTACAGAGCTCCCCTGAAGAGAACCACAGCCGTGTTTGGTGACAGCGAGGACACAAGCTCCTCTGAGTTCATATCAGAAAACCAGTGCAAGAAGCTTCTCCAGGAGAATCAACAGCACATGATCTTCCCTTCCAGTTCTCCTATTGTACTGACGGTGACAATCCTCAGGTGGGCCTTCCACACCCAGCACCACACTGATTCAGTTCAGCAGGGTGTTACAAGATAACTATTAGCTAGTCCAGCACATGGGCTGAAATATTTGGCCCTTCAACCCCATTTCTCAGCTTGGGAGGAGACGGGATAGTGAATCCCAGGCAGGCATTTCTGCTCACAGGAAGGGTCTAGGAGCTTGCAGCCTAGTACCCACAGGCTGGTTACCACCCACACAGATATGGAAGGCTGATAGTGGCGTTGGGGATCAGCTAATGCTTTGGCATTTTCAGTTCTGAAGAGCAGTCCTGCCCCTTACTCTGCCCCTGGGAGTTACAGGGCCCTCAGCAAGGTGGGCTCTGGCCCTGTGAATCAGCGGTTCCAGCTGCTTTGGGGTCTGGTTCTGAGATAACCACAGCCTCCTGTGGCGCTGAGGCCACAGAGGAATCTAAAGAAGCAGTGAATGCAGAAATCTACAAGGGACAGGATGAGAAGGGAGAAGGTTCTTGTGCCCCCACCCAGCACCCACATGCTGGTTACTCTCCACCAGCCTCTACATACCACACTGGCTTGTGGTAACCAAGGACAAGGTTGTGTATCATGGCTTTGTGCCTAAACTGCATGTCAACCTGAACTGCCACCATCAGGCCAGGATTTCCCAGGGCCACAGGTCTGCGCAGTCATCTCTGCAACACTCACCTCTGAACTGACCAGTTAGGGACTTGGCCTGCACTGTGTGGAGGACAGCCTTGGCTCCATGCTGCTCCACCAGCAGAACCAGTGCCTGAGCAGCGAGACCTTTGCTGTCCATGTCTCCTACCACAGTGGAACACCCCAGTGGGCAAAGCTGCTGGTCCTCTACATGGGCTGCGGGGAGGGGGGGCACAGTCCTGCAAGTGAGGACCCCCATGTGCAGTGTGTCAGCTGGCCCCAAGGCAGAGAGGCAAACGGCACAGAACAACCTTTCATGGCGGTGGCAAACAGCAGAGAGCAAAGGAGGAGTACCAGCAACAAAGGCAACAGAGCTAGTCTGTCTCCCTTATGTTACATTCTGGCTATCCACCCCAGGCTGAGTGTAGTACTCACACCCATAATCCCAGCAGTACTCAGAGCCATAATCCCAGCCCTGGATGGTGAATTAATCACAAATTGTAGAACTGCACCTCAGTGACTGCATGAGTCTGTGGGGGAACAAATACACACACACCATAACAGTTAGCTATGGGTTAGTTGTAGTGGAGCAAAGTGCCCTTTGGTGCCAGGCCTAGTGTGTCCCCACTTGAGTTCAGAGGACTGGGTAGGAGGGGATTAGCCATCCCAGACCATCTTATTTCCCTTTTCTGCATCCTATCCTGGTTATCTTGATAGGGGCAGCCCACACGAGTCTTGCTTCTTCTTCTTCTTCTTTTTTTTTTTTCTGCTTTTTGTATCTCCATGAAATAACGGATGGGGCTAGGTTGCTTTTCAGCTCTGAAAGAGCTCAATGGCCTCTTGAGGACATGGCTTCTCCCTACTGTTGAAGACAGTGTTCCCGTCACACACACACTGACAGCTGGACCCGCTGCACACACCCTGCCCGGCACTCTCAGCCGTTCCCTGGCCAGGTCTTCTGTGGTCGAGAACTCAGCCATCCACCATCCACTCTCAACCCAGAAGGGACTGCAGGTCCTTCCTGGTGCTGAGAAGCCTGCAGGCTCTCACAGAAAATTGCATGGGTAACATCTTTTACTTTTTCTAAAACTCATGGCTGCAAAAGGGAGAAAGATGCTTCCATAGTGCAAACAAGAGATAATTACAGACAGTGAATTTTCTCCTCTAATTTGCTTAGGTCCTTAACTTATTCAGCAAATATATATTTAATATGTGCCAGGCACTGTTTTGGGCGGCACTGGAGATTTGGTGGTCAACAAGACAGCAAACGCTTGCCCTCTGGAGTTTACATTCTAGGGACTGGTTTTGGAGAAAAGTGGACAGGAAGTAGTGCTGTTCAATGATCTTTTAAATCACAGCTCTGATTAATAATACTTTTTTGCACAGCAACTTATTACATTCCTCTCCTCCCCCCACAATAGGATCAGAAGTTTTCTAGGACAACACTTGCCCTTTTTAGATATAAAGAGCTTAAAAAAAAATTGCCTCATTAATATAGAATGTAGAATAGAAAAAAAAAAGTACCAGATGAGCAATATAAAAGGGAAAAGATTCAGGCAAGATTTTAGTGATTCGCAGGAAGTTTGTCTGCTCCCAAGTCGACCGCAGTGCTGAACGTGCAGGCTGGTGTTACCCGTATGCACACATGGACCTGTGCTCTCCTTTGCTTTAGTCAGTTTCAAAGGTGGAAAATCTTCATGCATACAAATAGGCATTTGTGAACAGAAACTATAGGTGTTAGGGTTTGGATTGAAGAGCTTCCCAAAAGCCATGTGCTGAAGACTTGGTCACAAGCCTGTACTTCTTTTGGGAGGTGATAGAATCTTTTAGATACTCACCAGATGGAAGGAACTTAAGTCACTGGTGGCCTCAAAGTAGATACTGGGGCCTCAGCACTTCCCTTTCTCTTTCTCTTCCTACTTCCTAACCACGACAAGGTGAGCAGGTTGGCTGTACAACATGCTCCCAGCCAGGAGGTGCTGCCTCGCCACAGGCCAAGGACAGCAGGGCCAAGTGACCATAGACTGAGGCCTCTGGAACCATGAGCCAAAATAGACCTCTCTTCCTTTTAAATTGTTTATCTCAGATATTTTGTCACCTCAACAGAGAGCTAACGGCAAAAACAGGGATGCATTCTTTCTGCCTAACAATAAAAATTCTTTAATTTTTACACTAAAATGATAATAAAATTCTTATCTTGTGATCATTCATTAGTACCGATGAAGAAATAAGATGTAACCATTCAGTCACTTCTTTGGGGCACCAAATTTAGGTCAGTTTTTTTTTTTTCACATTTTATTTTTTAATTTTAAACAGAAATAAAACAAAATTTCAAAACAAGATAATAGGTTAACAATGGGTATAGGTCAGTTATTGATTCCAGGTTTTCATTTTTTAAAAAATATTTTTATTGAGAAGCAAATAGCAATGAGACAGTTTCATAACCGATTACTAGTACATTTTCAATAATTAATACATTGCATATTGTTGTCTTAGTGGTTATTCACTGTACAAGATGCAGGCCTGGTATACTGTCTCAAACACTATTAGAACAACTTCTCTATTCATTGAATTAAGAGAATGGAGCCCTATATCTATCCTATCTATTTTGAGTATACAGATACAAAATGGTCGTTCATTTTTATCCCTTTTTTTCTTTTTGGTTAGTTTTGCTAGAGAAGGGCATTTCATTGTCATTTAAATACTGTGGGTGCATGAATTCAGCAAAATATCCCAATATAGTCCAGTAGTCCATAATAGTAGTGGGTTTTCCATAAGACTGTCAATGTCCGAAGTTGTTGACTTGAGCATTTTACAGCTCATCACATTAATATGGCTTTACTTTTTATACTTCATTTTCATACTTTTCTGATGAATGTTAATACCAAGAAAGAGCAAGCCCTATATAACAAAAGGGAGATGGCTCAGTAGAATAAGTGCTTCCCTGGCAAGTGCAAGAGTCTGAGTTCAATCCCCGGTTCCACCAAAAAAAAAAAAAAAAAAAAAAAAAAAAAAAAAAAAAATTCTAGGTTTTCAAAAGAAAACACATCTTTTTTTTTTTTTTTTCAATAACCAACACACTGCATATATTCTTCTTAGTGGTTAATTGCTGTACAAGATGCGGACTTGAGGTCCTATTTACAAACACCATTAGAACAAATCATTCTATTCATTAACACAATGTAACTATATATCTATCCTAACCACTTTGAATACACAGATACAAAATGGACATTCATCTGTATACCCCATTTTTTCTAAGTTCCGTTATTGAATATTATAGGTGTGTAAATTCAGCAAAATATTCTAAAAGAGTCCAGTAGCCCATAATAGCATTGGGTCTTCTGTTTAACTGGCAATGTCTGAAATTATTGACCTGAGTCCCCCACAGCTCAACATAACAACATGGCTTTACTTCCTATATTTCGTCTTCATACTTTTCTACTGGATGGTTAAGACCAAGGTAAAGCAGGACCTGTGCAACAAGAGTTGTAGCTTTTTGGTCTGAGAAGGTCAGTGAAATCCCCTCAAGATTTATCCTGAGATCCTGTACCTCAGATTGTAGAACCTTTGTCAGTGTCAGCCATGTGGATGAGTAAGAAAACGCATCTTTGACTTGAAAACTTTCCTCAAGTATTTTTTTTTATTTACTAATA